AAAAGAAATAATTAAAGAAAACGTCCCAAATCTGGATGGGAATGCACATCCACATTCATGAAGCCCAAAAAATCCCAAACAGATTAAATATGAAGAGATCATCATCAAGACACATCACCACAGCATCTAGTGGATCCACATGTACAGTGCAAATTGAAGTTTTAAGGATTGCTTTTTAGCTATACTGTTGCACAAGAAGGATAAGCCTCCATTTGCTTTCTCTATGCCTTCTGTTAATCAGAAAAGGCCTGCTTCTCATTGTCAATGGTAAGTTTTACCCTGCAGTAAATAACCAAAGAAGCAGAGGCTGAGTTAGAAATGCTTCAGCAAAAAAAAAAAAAAAAAAGGGCCAAAGGGGTCTTTGCTTCTGTTTCAGCAGATTTAGTAACGTAGGGGTGAGGGTATGTTTCTGTTTTTGCAGGAGATGAACAAACCATGTGGGTGCCCTCAAGATGTGTAAGACCATGGAATGGGAGACTAGAGGGATCCATGGATCCCAACCATGGACCGGGTTCCCCCAGTATGAACCATGCTGAGAAACTGCTGGAGCGCCAGGGTTTTACCTTTTGTTGGGATTCAGAGGTACAATAGATGCTTAACGGACCAATGCTTTCACAAAATGGGGAAAGGACAGCCTCTTCAATAAATGGTGTTGAGAAAATAAGTTATTGACATGCAGAAGAATGAAATAACACCCTTATCTCACATCATATGTAAAAATTAACTCAAAATGGACTAAAGATTAAACATAAGGCCTGATACTATAAAACTACTCCAAGAAAACAGGGGAAAAATCTTCAGGACGTTGATCTGCACAACGATTTCTTGGCTATGACCCCAAAAGCACAGGCAACAAAAGCAAAAATAGATGAGATTACATTAGACTAAAAAGATTCTGCACAACAAAGGAAACAATGAACAAAGTCAAGAGACAACCTACAGGTTGAGACATCAATATCCAAAAGATCCAAGATTTTAGTTAACATCCAAAACACACAGGAACTCAAACATCTCAATAGCATGCAATCAAATCATCCAATTAAAATGGACACATGGGCAAGGAACCTGAATAGACACTACTCAAAAGGAGACATAGAAGTGGCCAACAGATACATGAAAAAATGCTCAACATCACTAATCAGGGAAATGCAAATCAAAACTACAGTGAAATATCACTACACACCTGTAAGAATGGCTATTACCAAAAAGACAAAAGGTAACAAGCGTCAATGACGATGGGGAGAAAAAGGAACACTGGTACACTGTTGGTGGGAATGGAGATTAGTACAGCCATTATGGAAAACAGTACGGAGGTTCCTCAAAAAACAAAACGTAGAACAACTATATGATCTAGCAATCCCACTATTGGGTAGACATCCAAAAGAAATGACATCAGTATGTTGAAGAGGTATCTTCCCTCCCATGTGCATTGGAGCATTATTTACAATGGTTAAGACATTTAATCAACCTAAGTGTCCATCGATGATGAAAAGGTACAGAAAATGTAGTACACAGACATAATGGATTACCATTCAGCCTTAACAAAGTAGCAAACTCTGTGATTTCTGACAGCATAGATGAACCTGGAGATACTATGCTAAGTGAAATAAGCCAGGCACAGAAAGATAAACACTTTATGATCTCACATATGTGGAATTTTAAAAGTTAATCTCATAGAGGCAGAGAGTAGAATGGTGATTACCAGTGCTGCAGTTGGATGGTGGGTTTGAGAGATGTTAGTAAAAGGATACAAAATTTCAGTGAGACAGGGGGAAATAAATTCAAGAGATGTATTGTGCAACATGCTCACTAGAGTTATTAAAACCATGTTGAACAGTTCTTCCTTGTATTCACAGGGAATATATTCCGTGAAACAAACTGCACATACTCTACCCCCTGATACAAATCGGGACAGTATTGCATATAACCCAGGCATATATGCTTTAACTCATCTCTAGGTTACTTGTAATACCTAATAAACATGCTATGTACATAAGTGCTATATACTACATTGCTTTTTATCTACTTTTACTGATGTATTATCATTTTCATTATTTTTTCTACATGTTTTTGATCTGTGTTGTTTGCAACCATGAATGCAGAACCTGCAGATGAGGAGGGCGAAGAGGGCTTATCCCAGGGCTCTGTATCCGTACAGCTGAAAATTGCTGAGTAGATTTTTAAGTGTTCTTACCATAAATACATGATAAGTATGTGAATTAGCTTGATTTAGCCATTCCACAATGTGTACATATTTCAAAACATCATGGTGTACCCCATAAATATATACAATGTTTATCTGTCAATTAAAAGTAAACTGATTTTTAAAAATAAAAGTGCACCTGCTGGACACTCCTCCTCGAGGCTGTGCCTCTGTTGCTGTGAGGCCACTGGCGGCGGGGGAACTTCGTCCTGCCAGGAGATGGTGGCAGAGTCAACTTGGACCTGTGGGGACAAGGCAGAGATGGGCGTGAGTGGCTTCCAGACCTTACCTCTCCCAGGCTCCGTCTCACGCTCCCTTCACCCCAAGTGACAAAACCCATCAGAGCTTGGGCTTCTTTCCAGCTCCAAACTTTCATCTTTTGCATCCATGTTTGTCCCTTGGCCTGTTAGGGCAGCTATTTTCTATAAAGAAAAACACATCTGTGCCCTTTTCTCATATTATAACATAAAACAGCTTTACCCCAGAAAATGTGAGCAGAAGAGTTATTTTTATTTTTTATTTTTTTGATAGAGTCTTGCTATGTGGCCCAGACTAGAATGCAGTGGCTAGTCACAGGTGTGATCATGGCCCACTACAGCATGGAACTTCTGGCCTTAAGTGGTCCTCCTGCCTCAGTCTCCCAAGTAATGTGGATAACAGGAACACACCACTGTGGTTGGCAAGAAAAGATTTTATAAGAATACAAAAGGCCGGGCGCAGTTGCTCATGCCTATAATCCCAGCACTTTGGGAGGCCGAGGGGAGCGGATCATGAGGTCAGGATATCGAGACCATCCTGGCTAACACAGTGAAATCCCGTCTCTACTAAAAACACAAAAAATTAGCCGGGCATGGTGGTGGGCGCCTATACTCCCAGCTACTTAGGAGGCTGAGGCAGGAGAATGGTGTGAACCCGGGAGGCAGAGCTTGCAGTAAGCCGAGATCACGCCACTGCACCTGGGCAACAGAGCGAGACTCCACCTCAAAAAAAAAAAAAAAAAAAAAAAAGAATACAAAAAACACATGAACCCTTCAAGCAGAAATAGCATCTAATATATTTAGTTTGATCAAGTGTTTAATTTACTAGTGGGTGAATTCTGTCTGTCTTTCTCTCACACACACACACACACACACACACACACACACATAAAGATACACAGTTTTACAAATGAGAGTTATAATATAACCTTAAAGAAAGCCAGGATATATCATCAAACATTAAGTAATTTCTGCATTACAAAGGACTTTGACAAGCTGTTCCCACTAAATATCAAAGAGTGACACGAAAAGATGAAACAGCAATTCAGGGATTCCGGCCATGATCTGTGTGTTATAAATGACAACGAGAAGACAACTGGAGAATCAGAACACAGTCTGCTTATTAGATAGTGGTAACGTGTTGATGTTAATTTCCTTGCTTGTAGAAAGTACACAATAAATAATTCAATAATAGCTTTCATCATGCCAACAGTTATTTTTCAATTTTTTGTGTATAGTTTTTGTAACTTTTAAGTTCGGAGTGTTTTAAAGTACAAAATTAATTTAATTGTAAACTTACATTTAATTAAATTTAATATAATCTTGCTTCTGAGCAAAAACAAAGTGGTTACAACAAAAGCTACTTATGTTGGGCTCTGTTCAACTGCCTGAATCTAAACAAGACAAAATGTAGCTTTCTTCCACATTAAAGCCTGTCTAGTAGTTGGTGACGGTGAAGCTAACGCATGTTTCCCAAATCCTTCCTTCTCGGGCTACGGTCCCTCTAGGTTCAGGCGATGTCGCTGTCTCCTTTCTCTGCTCTCACACTCTTACTCCATTTGAAGACCAACTTTGCATTTTGTCAATTCTTTTTTTTTTTTTTTTTTGGAGACGGGGTCTCTCTCTGTCATCCAGGTTGGAGTGCAGTGGCGTAATCTCTGCTCACTACAGCCTCTGCCTCCCGAGCTCAAGTGGTCCTTCGACCGCAGTCCCCAGGTGACAGGGACCACAGATAGGAGTGTGCCCCAACGCCTGGCAAATATTTGTGTATTTTGTACAGCTGGGGTTTCACCACGTTGCCCAGGCTGGTCCAACTCCTGAGCTCAAGCGTTCTGCCTGCCTGGGCCTCCCAAAGTACTGGGATTACAGGCGCAAGCCACCACACACGGTCCGTTTTGTCAGTTCTTTTTGTGGTCTGTATTCTATTTCCTTGATTTATGTTCCTCCTTGTTACTTTGTTTGGTTTAAATTTATGCTTATATTTTATGATTGATTAATGCAGATCTTCAGGCCATACATTTCACATTTTTTCTTTTTTTGACAGCTTTAATGAGACACAATTCACATAATTAGTAATTATGATGATTCATATAATTCACCCATTTAACGTCTACATTTCAGTAGTTTTTAATATACTCACAGCTATGCAATCATCGCTATAATCAATCTTAGAATATTTTTATCACTCCA